AGGCCGGGTACTCGACATCTTTTGCAAGCAACGTCTATCTTCTCGTCGGCACGAGCCAATACAGTTCTAGTCCCAAAGGTCCTAGGTCTAAGGGCATCGGTGAACCTCGGTGGCTTGAGCAGATTATATTCCTCAAGCCACACGTTGCCAGTTCCATTTCTTGAGAAGTCATAAACACCTTGGCCTTGGCTCCTCAATTCTGCCCATTGTTTTACATGTGAGGCTTTGAGCCTTCTCTTTGCTTTCTCAATATCCTCTAAAGAGGCTGACCAATTGATCCTTAGGGAGTTGGCCATTTTTTTGAGTTTTCTGTCATAATCTTCATCAATAAGGCTAGAGACTACCGGATCGATCGAGTTTTTAATATTGATAGCGCTCTTTAGGGTACCGAGTTTCACGAGATGTTCAAACCTCGGCAACTCTAGCCAGTGGCAGTTTAAGGCATAAGATGTAAAATTGCCTTTACCTCCTGCCTGACTTCACTATCCAACAATTTCAAAACACTGTCACTTGGCGGACTCACGAGCAGGTGATATATGTACCGGGGAAAGATGTATTTTGTTATCAACTCGACCTTCTGGCATGACTTGTGGGAGACCTTCCTAACTCTTCCTACCACGCTCAGAATCTCGGGTACTATAATGCCACAGTGGACGCCCTTCCATGGCCCCATCTTAGAGCCTAAATACCTGAAGGCCTCATCGGGATCAACTGTTGGGATGTTATCTTCCCCGCGCCTGATCGTTGGTTCTCTAACGAACCAAGTGTCCATTCTAGCAACAACCTGGAACGTTTGGCTCCTATCCCTAGAGATGCTCATACCCAGGCGATTCAGCTATTTGTTGAGCACGCCTACTTGGCGTTGTGCTTCCCTTTCGTCAGTACCAAGTAAAACAACGTCATCGGCAAAAGCCAGGACAGGTACTTTTCTTGAATTACTAACGTTAATGCTACTGGTTTGCTCCTCAATCGTTTTCAGCAACGGCTCCAAGCACAAGTTGAATAGCAGCGGCGATAAAGGGTCACCCTGCTTAACTCGCCTAAGGATTTTAATCTCGACCCTTATGTTTCCCCTAGATTTTATTTTCGTTTTACTTCCGTTAAACATGCCGCAGACTAACTCAATAATGGGGATCGGCGCACCCTTCCTCGCCAGGCAAGGTTTTAACGCCGAGTGGAGCACTGTGTCTATAGCTTTGGAAGTATCCACCATTGTGAATTTCCCCCCCCCCCCTTATTTCCTTGAAGATTGAGGATCAACGGACCACTAAAAGTAATTGACCGATTTGTAATAAAGGGCAGCGAGTTTTATTCGGAAACACGGGCATGTGTCATTTACATTGATGGTAAATGTTGTGTAACAACTATATTACGGCTGAAATCTTTTGCAAACTGCATTTACATGGCAGAGGTAAAGAACTACACAAGTTTTACGATTATCGAGATATACAATTAACTGTTTGTTGAGTTTCAATTATGAAATGTGATTATAGTCTTTAAGTCTACGTAAGTATTCAATACTTTCAAACTTTGTGTAAGTCAAGGTTTTAACGGAATTATACATATCAATGTAAAGTATGTAGTTGAGAAAATACAGGAGAATATCTCTTAAAATGCTTTATGCACTGAAATCTTTCAAAAGAAATCTTCCACAGTTTTACACAAGTATGCATAATACTGTACATTTTACAACCCAACCAAACGATAAAGACATTCTTGGCTGAATAAAACATAACGTGAAACTTTCTTTTCTCTAAATGTATGGTGTAGAATATGTGTCTTGAGAAACTTCAACGTTATACATAATGTGTATAATATAATACACGTTTCTTCTACGGATCAATGCTCGAGAACGTTGGATATTATTCCAAGATAGAAGAATTCGAAAAGACTACTATAAGAAAACAGAAGGAAAAGAACAAAAAAAAGAAACATTGAGCAAGCCTCAAAAAGAGTTCAATTGATTTTACAGTAATTAAACTTGCAGTCGATATCAAGACAAAATGATCTACACGATCAGTGATCCACAAAGACAATTTAGTCATTCAATTCAAATCAGACATAATATATCGATTTTCACCACAAAAAATTGAATACTTCTTCACTTGTAATAGCACAGCTGCCCAAGATTTAATTACATTCCAACAAACATAGATTTAAGCATCTAAAATTTCCACATATAGATATATGTCGGAGATGAAAGAACACCGGAGCCTTTGGAATTTTGGATAATCCCGCAACATTGTAATCTAGAGTCTACTATAGCTGTAATTAAACAATTGTAGTTATTCAATCCGATTGTAATTGTTCGAGACT